GCCAGTTGCTCCTCTTCTCATCCCTTTGCTTTGGGTTGTCCTAAAAAGAGAGGCAGTGGTGGGGGGGGACAGAGCCAGCAAGAAGACAAGTTTATTCCAGAGGTCTCCAGTTTCCCATCCTAATTATACAGTCCTAAAGAAAATGAAACGTTCCCTATTTGAACAGTTACGAGAAGGTTTTCCTGCCTTAAGGGGAAAGTCAGGAAGTCAGACAATGAAAGTCCTTGTATTCTCTTAGGTTGTGCCTGCTTGTAATATCTGGCAGAATTCAGTGCCTCTGTTTGTCCATTTACCAGGGGAACAGTTAACCATTGAGGTAGGTTGCAAATAATTAATCCATGGACTCAGGCATATCATGACTTTATTTAATATGACTATTAAACTGAGAATTACATTACACATAGTCAATATTGTTTTCTGAGTAAAGGTTTTTAGAAACTACAGTTAGTTTTAGAAGTAATAAAAGCTACAGTTAGCTATTGTGTATTGTCACACTAAACCACAAAGAACTACCTTGTGTTGGTATCTTATCTCCTCCTGGCAAAGGGCAATAAACCGTAACTGAAAATAGACGAAATGCATATTCATGAGTTTTTCCCCATGTTAACAGTTTTCTGTAACATAACATGAGATACATATCAATAAGTAGAGACTCCTCCTATAAAGTAGTTGTGGTAGATCAGGATCCTCACCCTAACTCTGAAAAGTATAGTATATTGCCTAGGTTTGTCATTGTTTTCGATTAGCATTCAAATCTAACCTAAATATAAGCAGAGGTGCAGTAACATTAATTTTTATGGGATTCATTTAGGGTTAAGGTGACAGCACTGCTTGGAAAAGTAATTAAAGCATCTTAATGTATTAAAACTGTCTTCTACTTTGATTAAACATTACCTGGAGGTATAGAACAATAAGGTGGCCGAGTCTGCAAGGCATTTCTTATTTATTTGTTTACAGTATAGTGCGAAGAGGGGAACTACTAGTATTTAAGTAGGATCTCGCCATTCTGCATAATTATAATTAAAAATAATCCTTGACTTACACCCACAATTGAGCCCAGAATTTCTGTTACTAAGTGAGACAATTGTCAAGTGAGATTTGCCCCATTTTACAATCTTTCTTGCCACAATTGTTAAGTGAATCACTGCAGCTGTTAAGTTAGTAACACAGTTGTTCAGTGAATCTGGCTTCCCCATTGACTTTGCTTGTCAGAAAGTTGCAGAAGGTGATCGCATGACCCTGGGACTCTGCAGCCGTCATAAATATGAGTCAGTTGCCAAGCATCTGAATTTTGATCACATGACCATGTCAGGGGTAGGCAACCTTGGCTCTTTTATGACTCGTGGAGTTCAACTCTTCACTGTACTCTTCCTAGAGTCTCAACATCTTTTTTACATCATGGTGACCAAAACTGGATGCAGTATTCCAAGTGTGTAAGGTAGACAAATTGATGATTTGGACACTGTAAAATGAATGAGAATGGTGACCTAGTACTTCTTAGAAAAATATTTGGCTTTGAATTGGGGGCTTAGATTAAGTTTATTAATCCATACACATCACTGACTCGATAAAAATAATGAAGGTAAAAGTCTGATAAAAAATTCTCTGAAGTCCACGAGTCATAAAAGAGCCAAGGTTGCCTACCCAGATCATGGGGATGCTGCAATGGTCGTAAATGTGAAAAATGGTCATAAGTTACTTTTTTCAGTCCTGTTCTAACTTTGAACAGTCAGTAAATGAAATGTTGAAAGTTGAGGATGACTTGCACTGCACCAGAAGGACAAAATTATGCAAAATATATTGCTGCAATCTGAGCAAGTGGTGACTAAACACTTTGCTACCATAATTTTTTGTGCAAACAATCAGCATGGAAGGTCAGGTTTGGGGATTTTAATGCACTAGATTCCTTCCCCACAAGAGTTTTCCCATGAAAGAAATTATTACAAGTTGCCATCAATCAGGTTGTGCCTCCTAATACATTTTATTTTGTCTGCTTGGGAAATTTGTATATAGTATGCAAGTGCAACTATGTAGTTTGGCAGATGTGTAGGCAGATAAGACTTTAATGACTAATTTCTTTTTTAAATAAATCTGTAGTTATTAAAATGTATTTAAGGAAGAGGGAAAAACAAGGACATATCACAAATAAAGAATTCCAAATAAAATAAACAAAGTCAAATTAGGTATGTACTACCAGATTAAATAGAATCTTGGATTTTAAAGCATATATATAGTTCATTCACAGATGATGGAGAGAGAGAGAGAGAGAGAGAGAGAGAATTTTGTGTACGTGAGAGAAAGCATCTTAGCATCCAACGATGCCATCTTTTTTTATTTTGAAGGCAATAGTCTTGCAATTTTATAGAAAGCAATGATAACAGTGACTCATGTTTTACATAGTTAAACAATATGCTCCAGTTCAGAAATCAGAAGCTTGGCCAGCAAAACGATCCATTTTCCTAATGAAGCATCCATTCTGATTTTAAATAATAACCTATTGTGTAGGTACTTTAGTTACTTTGGTTGGAGAGAAGCACATTGGAACAGAAATATAATCTCTAATCTGTTAGTCCTTCCAATATGGGGCCAGCTTACTCTATGGAGCCCTGTTGAGCCATTCCAAAATGGCACACATTAAAAAATGGTGGGGTTTTGACTGTGCAATCATTGGTGCCATCTTGAATGAGATGAAAATTAAAGAAATCAAGAAAGGACACATCTAATTATTTAAAAAAAAAAATTGGAACGTAATTACATTTCTCCAAGAAATTTTACATTTTAAACTGCAATCAGATTCTTACAGACAAGTTAATTTACAGAAACAATTATTATAGGTTTGATTGTCTGAATGTTGTTTTTAAGGCACTGACCAAAATTTTCAGTTTGCCTTACTTTTTTTTGAGCAGGTGCAATAGTGATATAGTTAGTTGGTACTTTTAGACTATGGATTTAGTGAGGCTTCTTTTAAACAGTCATGTTTTACAGGTAGTCCTTGACTTACGACCACAATTGAGCCCAAAATTTATGTTGCTAAGTGAGACATTTGTTAAGTGAGCGTAGCCCCATTTTATGACAAAGAGTTAGATATCCTGCATACCTCAGCTAGAAGTTAGAAATAGGGATGGCCTGGAGCAAATAGAATGTGTATTAGATAACTCCTGGAGCATTCATTAGCCAAAGTTAAGGAATAGGGACAGCTAGAGACCAATAGAACAAATGGCTAGAATGTTTATTAGATGATGATGATGATGATTATTATTATTATTATTAATTATTATTATTATTTAAATTTATATACCGCCCTATCTCCCTTACGGGACTCAGGGCGGTGAACAGGCAATAATAAAAATCACAGTAAATATTACATAAAAGCCTGCTCTAAAATATAAAACCCCTAACAAAACCCAATCAAAACTACGCCAGGCCGGCTGCATGGAACAGATGAGTTTTCAGGGCTCGGCGGAAGAGGCGCAGGTCTGCAATTGTACGTAGGTCGGGGGGCAGGTCATTCCAGAGGGCAGGAGCTGCCACAGAGAAGGCTCTCACCCTGGGGGTCGCCAGCCGGCATTGGCTGGCCGACGGTACCCTAAGGAGGCCCTCTCTGTGGGAGCGGACTGGTCGAAGGGAGATATTTGGTAGGAGGCGGTCTTGCAAATACCTAGGTCCACCTTGTCCTGCCTTCTGCTTTAGTGAAATTGTATAAGGCTTTCTTAATCCATTGTTCTGGGTCTTGGCATTTTGCTGGCTGGGACCCCTTTTGCTGAAGCACTTCAATAAAAGGAAACAAAACCTGCATCTCGTGCCTGATGTTTTTCATCAGTTTTGGGGACATGACCTTGGGGATGCTGCAACAGTCGTAAATATGAAAAACAGCCATGTCCCTTTTTTCAGTGCTGTTGTAACTCTGAACTGTCACTAAATGAACTGTTGTAAGTTGAGAACTACCGGTAAGCACAATTTCTTGCAGAAAAGAGTGTTTTTATCAATGGTTAGGGCATCAGATTAGAAAGCTGGAGACCATGAGTTCAAGTCTCTCCTTAGCCATAAAAGCCAGCTGGGTGACTTTGGCCAATCTCTCTCTCAACTCAATCCACAGGATTGTTGTGGTAGGGAAAACAGGAGGAGGAAGGTGTGCTGGATATGTTTGCCGCCTTGAGTTATGTGTAAAATAATAAAGGCAGGATACTGAATAAATAATAAAACAAGCACCTATAATTACTGTATCTCTCTGTATGTCTAGCTAACTGTCCCACTAGACAAAATACTTCTTGAAAAAAATGTTTTCTTTTTTTGTAGCTGATCAGCTGTAGGACAGCACTTCAGCCAGAAGGTTCCCTCCTACCTATGCCACTCGGCGCTGAATAAGCTAAGCAAATGTGAATAGGGCGGCGTCCGTACGGCCCTGCTCCTCCCTCCGTGCTCATTCAGATCCTAAGATCTAAGACATTAGAATAGTTGTTCATTTCCCTCGTCTTCTATTCTGGGAAAATAGGAAGGCTAGAACGCGAACGCCCCCGCAGCAAGAAAAAGTTTCTGCGAACTTTGAAGCACTCAGGCTGGGGAAGGGAGGAAAGACAAATGCCAGGAAGGAAGATGGCTACCGGCGCTTCCGATGACACCATTTTCCTGCGCCTGCAAAGGGAGTGGGCGGGTGTGGTGAGGAGGAAAGTGGGCGGGGCAGCCAAGGAAGCGCTGGAATGTGGGCGGGGCGGCGAAGCGGGCGATGTGGCTTCCTATTTGCCAGCAGCCGCAGCAGCCGACTCCTCCGTCGGGGCTGAAAAGGACCGTGGCAGGCGAAGCCCCTCTCCGGGGAGTCTCCTCCCGGGGTCCCCGGTAAGTTACTTCGGGGGCTCTCCGAAGAGGCTGTCCGGAGTGATGGGGACAGGGAGGCAAGACATGGAAATGGGTCCAGAGGCGGGGAGGGTCGGGGAACCGGGAAGGAGGGTTGGCGGTAGGGCTCGCCTGGGCGGGGACGAGCAGAGGGCTCGGAACTAGAAGGGAACGAGAAGGAGAGGAAAAATCATCGCCGAGCCCGGAGTAAAACTTGCCAGGGCAAATGAAAAAAGCGGTGGCGAGGGTGGGTTGGGTCGAGAGGAGGCATTTTTAATAAGGGGGGGGGGAAATCCGGAGGGCAAACATTGGAAACCAGAACGCTAGATTGGCTTTCCGATTATTTACTTTTGGAAGAGTGTAAGGAATTATGCTTGACTCTACTGCAGGAGGATATTTCTGAAATACTCTCGTTTTCAGTCAGTTAGCCATCTCATTTTGTTCATCAATGTTTAAAGCTTGAAAGGGAGACCTTTCTTTGAAGTTTAGTATTCAACATTAAAGGGAAAGCATTAGACACACGGTGTGGAAGTACTGAGCCTTCCATGGGAAAAAAAAGATGCTTGCAAGGGGTCTTTGATTTGAATCTTTCCTTAAATAAAGCATGTCAACACTCATATAATTTAACTAGGGTAGCAGATTGAGTGATTGAAATCAGGTTTATGTTTCCAAATGCAGGATTTTTTTTAAATTGATAGTCTCCTCTCTTTTTTTGGCAGGTGCCCCATCATGTTGTTTGCCTTATTGGAGAATTAAAAAGACATCTTCTGTTATTGCTAACAACTACTAAACGTGTCCCAGGATATCACAATTGGAAAGATGTTGAAGACCTAAAATTAAATGGGATTATACTGAAATTTAATCCAGCTACAAGAACATTCCTTGGAGTCTCTTGAAGAATTTTCCTTTGTTTTCCTGCATATTCTATATCCATCAACAAGCTTAATTTTATTTGGAGGAGGGGACAGATTTTCCAAAGTGCCATTAATGAAAAGGAAAGGGCAGATTGTCACACTTTCTTATTTAAATTGTGCAGTGGTGTTAGAGACTAATTCTGTTCCTCTTTGGTTGTCCATGAACTGAAGCTAATAATTTAAACTGAAACAGAGAATGTTTGGATCCTGATTAGAGGATACTTCACAACCAAATAAGAGGGAGTTTAGGATGGCATCCAGGGAGAGGCTTTATGAACTTTGGATGCTCTACTGTAATAAGGTAACTTTTTTTTTAAAAAAAGTTGTAATTAGTTGCAGTTGTTTTCTAGATGCTGAATAGCTAAGGTTACAATGGAGATACTGCATAATATAGTGATAAAATATTTTTCAGAGTGTATTTTCCAGTATCATGAATTAGCCACCAATAATTAAGTTCTGCACAGATTATAATTTTTTCTGTTCATTCAGGTTGTGAATATCATAAATATGCCGGCCATACTGCCATGCTTGCCATAGGGCTTGTATTAGCAGCAATTGTAGGTGCATTGGCAAATTTAGCCTTGTTTTTTCACAAATAATTCTTAGGATTCTGTAAATTTGATGGGTGAAGGTTGAAAATGACTTAAACTGAAGAAATAGCGAGCTTCCTACTAACAAAATGATATATGTACATCAACTTTATAATGTTACGCACCATCATATCTATCTAGAAATTATCCTTAGTTTTGTTATGTGGTACATTTCTTGTATTTTCTTTATCTTGACTTTAGTTTTGTAACCATTGCAATATCTTCAACAGCTTTATTGTACAGAAAGTGACATTTGTGCACTCATTATTATGTAGCAAAAAGGAAGCTGCAGAAATGCTTGTCTGAGCAAAGATTGTTGAATTTTTAGTTTTTGGTGCTTAAGCTGACAAGCTTTTCAAATATAAATACCCTGTTGTTTGACAAAGCTTATGAGCAGGTATTTAATAACATAACTGATACTGAACTAGAGTTTACGGTAGGGGTAATTTCTAACTTTTATTTCTAAGAGTACTAATCACTTCTGTTTTCATGTGGTGCATGAAATATTTCCTGGTAACTTACTGGCTATCAAATAGGAAAGTTTAATTAAATACATATCTTTATCCTTTTTTAAGATTAGTTTTATGGAAAAAGTATCTGAAAAAGTTAGCTGGGATCTAAACATGGTAGCAGTGAGACTATCTGCTCTTTGATGGGAGAAGAATAATCCATTGCAGAAGACAACCTTTTTATATAAAACACAGGATGGATAACTCTTCATGATCAATGCTAAGAGTCACCTGAACTGTGAGATGGGTGGCAAGTAAATTTGATAAATAAAAAAGGTGGTAATTCCAGTGACAAAAAAATATCCAGTTTTTTTCAGGAGTTGCTTCTTTTGAGATGCACCAAAGTACTGTGTAGTTCACCCTATCTGCTTTTACAAAGCTAGTTACAGTGATTATGTACTGTATGTGGTATATAGATCCAAGAGACTGATAGTGAACTGTAGTTTTTTAATGCAAAAATGGACATGAGCCAGGTCATTCTTATTGTATCTTTGTAGGTTGCAATATGTTCTAAGAACATTTTGAGATATCAGAAAACTAATTACTCCTTATCTACTATTGCTGACTTCACATATTGATGTGGTTTGGTGTTATTTGATTTGAAGCAATGTGTAAAATTGCTCATATGTAGCTTATTAGCTATGATTTAAGGTTTAGTATATCTAATTCAACTTTCATGGTTTTTTCAATTAATGATAGCTTTGCAACAATGCATGAATTTTTTGGGTTCCTTTTCCACTTAGTACTGGCATCTTCCTATATGAAGATTGTTAATTGAATATCAATTTCAAATAATTAAATTCAGAACCATTGCTGACAAGTATTGCTAAATCAGCTTTGGAATTTTGTTTCTTATTGGAGTGGTCCTCTGGTCTTGGATCAACAAGTTTTATTGGCTCTCAAATACTGAGTTTCATATTTTCTAACAATGCAAGCAATGATGTGAGAGCAGTTGCTTGAGGAAGGCTAAGTACCGTAAGCAGAAAACAGATATTGAGGATAGGTTTATGGCATTAGACAAACAGTTGTATGAGTTTTTGCCATAAATAGTAGAAATACATCTGTTTTTAATATCAAAACCTAATATAAAACGGTTTCAAATTACATGACTATCTTCATGATAAACCTGCATTCTGAAGAATTCAGGCTTATGTGAATTTCTGTTGCCAGCAGGTATGATTGAACAAACCAGAGCTTCAGTGATTTGTTACACTGCCCTCATTGATAGAAGCCAGACAGGTGTATCAGGACACCTTGATGAACAGCAGCTATAACTCTTGAGAAGTTGACTTACCATGACATGCTTCTGCATTCCATGAATTATATAATAACTAAGTTAATAATGGCTGCTAGATCTCGGTTGCAGACTGCTAGATGGCAACAAAGAGATACAGAAAAATATAGCACTTTGCTCCTGTTTTGTAGTCAGGCAGAGCTTTATAGCCCAAATCTAGGGGCTATGAACCTAAGCCCCATTGATTTACTTTAGATATGGTAAACCATGAAACCAAACAAAAAATTTACCGGAATCAATATACAGGCTCTTTCCAAGTGCTAGAAAGAACTACCATGTCCCATAGTGTAATATACAACAGATAAAATTAGACAGGTTTTCAAAATTCGTGTCTACATTTTTTCAACTTAAATTATTAGAACTTTGACCAGAGTGCATTTTGGATTTCTGTAGAAAATTTGAATATATTTCCTCTTTTTATATCAAATTGGTAAGTGCATATTACATGAAGACTTTGTTCCTTTTTAAGACATTTCTTTAAATATCTTCGTATAACATCTTCCTGTTAAAAAGTAGATGAAGAAAAAAAATGGTCTGTCAAGAAAATACCCTGCAGAAAAGACAGTAAAAAAAAATCTTTTAAAGGTTGGCAGAAGTTCCTCTGGCCCAGTTTATTTTCCTATAGGCAACTTCTAAAGTCTTCTAATTCTTCAATTCAGTCATTGTTGTTCCCAAAAAATTGTAATGAGAACAGACTTTCTCTCACTTCAGCATGTTTTGGGTGGTGCTATGAAGATAATATAAATCACTTATTGGGAAAAGGCTATGGGATCACTATTTGCTGCTGATAACTAAGTTCTTTTGACTAATAATTAAGAAAATACCTGACTAATTGTGGATTCATAAACAGAGAACCCATTGATTGGTCTAGATTGTAATTATCAGTTTAGAGATTATGAAAAATTCTAGTTCCTCATAGTCAATTCCATTTATTGAATATCCACCAAATTTAGTGGTCTTGTCCAGTGTTGCAGATTTATTAGCTGAAGTCCTGTAGTCTTTTATTTGTACTATTGCCAGGATCTATGGGCAGATCTTCTTTTGTCCTCTTTGCAACTACTGACCTTGGTCCAGAAATTGCAGTATTCATTGTTCTCGACCTCCCTTCTTTTTTTCTCATGTTTCCTTAGACCAGGGCTTCTGTTTTAGGGCCAGAGCCCAAAATAAGCTCTTGGTTCTACCATTTAAGGCCAGTAGTTTGCTATTCTTTACTACCTGTCCCAGCTCCTGCATTAGCATGATCCTTTGTATACAACATGATCAATGGGACAGGGCCACCTTTTCATTCCTTCTCTGCTCTTTACTCCATTCTTCATATGCATTTCAAGACTTGGATCCATGATTATGGAATTATTTCTCCACCTCCAGCTCTTTATACTTTTGGATACAGTTAAGAAAGAGTTGAAAACTTGGTTATTAAATAAAGCCGGCTGATTGATGGAACTGGTTGTGAGCAGATGCTGAGAATGACATTGAGAAAAGTTCAGTAACAGGGCTGTTTTGTTGTAAATCTGATTAGTAAAGGTAGACTTCAAGGATAGAATGGTTTCCCCATCACGATAAACCAGCATGATATAAACCACTTTGATTCTATAGTTGTATGAATGCTCTTTTTACACTAACTATAATATATATAACAGTGTATATTGATTTCTTTTGTGTAATTTTTTTTTATTGTTAATTTTTATTTGTAAAATTAAATGTTGGCCTGAAACCAAGATATTTGTATATGGAGTGTAAATCAAATCTCAGGTTCTTGTTTTTTACCCAAGCAGACCAAGAGGGTGTTTGCTTTCCATTGTTGAGAGCCTCATCTAATTCTCCATGTAAGCTAGTGAAGTGATTGGATTTTTATGTATTTGGAAAAGCCATGTGACAGCTGTGTCATAATTTTAGAAGATTTTTTTTCTTGAAAATGGTTTAGTAAAATCTACACTAGGTAAGGTTTTTTTGCAGATAATGTTTAAAAGACTAATATACTACTATGTATTAAAATATTTTTGGAATTTAAAATTTCAAAACACTTTCCTTGAAAGTATTTAAAGAATACTGTAAATAAATAGATCTCTCTCCTTATAAGCTATTGAATCAGCAACTTCAATGTCCTGAAACGTTCCCAGAGTAATTTAAAAGCCTTTGTAGGCATAGGTCAGGAATTCTGGGAGTTGAAGTCCACGAGTCATGAAAGAGCCAAGGTTGCCTACCCCTGGCATAGGTCAATAGACAGCTGCTGTGTGCTACAAATACTTTCGTCAGTAAAATTCTGGTTAGAGCTTTGAAATGGAAACAAATAAGGTCCCTTGGCAAAGAAATTACTGGGTATAATTCCTTCTAATTGCATTTTAGTTCAGTGTATCTGGCAGAGAAGGGAGAGAACATTTCTATGGGAAAGACTTATGGGTGCTGCTGAAGGCTGGGTGTTTAGAGCCATTAGCAAAATCTGATGCACATCATAAAACATTTTTTACCAAAAATTTCATAAACTGATCTCTACTCTAACAGGACTTTTATTGTTCTGCAGTATTTAGTGTCATTTCTTTCTGCTGTATATTTAATCCTTTTGCAAGGGCAGGGTGGGGAGAGGGAAATGGGTTATATTTTAATCTGAAATCAAAACTACATAGTCTTCTAGTCATTGGGAATTACTCTGAAACTTATGATAGATTTGAAGCCCCAACTGCTGTGGAAAGTAGAGCGTGTTATTGTTTCTTTTGATTCCAGTATTGACCTTGTCACCAACTGTATGCCAAATTTCTGTAATTGATCATCCACTCATCCTTATAATTCTACTAAAATGAAATGTTTGTTTCTCACAATAGTCAGAAGAGTCATTCACTTTTCAGTATTTTGGAATTATTTTTATTGTAAAGCTAGCTCTACTGATGGCAATTACTTGACAATTTGGCTT